TGATTTTGACGGGATTTTGTTTCGATTTCAATTGATTTTAAAACGAATGTTAAATAAATTTCCATTGATTCTAACGGATTTTTAATTCGATTTTAATTGATTTTAAAAGGAATTTTAAATAAAATTCAATTGATTCTAACGGGATTTTAATTCGATTTTAATGTAATTGATTTTAAAAGGAATTTAAAGGCGGCCCTACCAAATCCTTTCAATAAATATGCCCCCCTAATTAAAAAAAAATTGACCACCCGGAGTATTTATTATTAGGAGGGGGGGGGACGTCGTTTATTATTAGGGGGAAGCGATTACTTTGATTAGGGAATATACCCTAAATCATATTAAGGGGCCTACTATGATTTAAGGTATTTTCCTTCATCATTTAGCTGTGTTGGGCTTTCTGGGAATCAAATGCAAAAGAACATAGAACATGCAACGGAAGCTGGGGTTATGCGAGATGTATATTTGTATGGATGAGGGTTTCCAGAAACTGGCGCACGTGGAGATGTTAGCGTAAACGCAGGTTGAGCTGCTTACAGTCGGAGGGTATGTGGCAGAATCCTGTTTTCTAGAAGCGTATACAAAACCCTAAACCCTAGATCCTTCACCCTAAACGAACTTCGCAGGCTTGTCAAGCCTGGACGCTGTGAACTATGAGCATCGCAATGTTTGGTGTTAAGAAGGACAGCCCTTAACTCCTAAACTTATAAGCTGAAAGCAATTTGAATCTCGAACGGATGAACCCTTGACCCTGCTCGGTAACTGCGGATGTGGCAGGGTGGCCTGTGGTTTTTCATCCCAGGCTGACGCTGACATTGATATGCAAGGGGTCTGAAGAGCCCCAAGGGTTTAGGGTTTAGGGGGAAGAGCCCTGATTGAGTTTATGAACCCTAACACCTGAACTCAATGACCTTAAGCTTCAGCCTTCTTCAAAGACATGAACCTCAAGCAGGACATGATTGAGCCTAAGCCCTAAACCCTTGAACCTCAATCCTGAACTGATGATGAGCCCAAACCCTAGACTTCATACTCGTCAACCCTAAGCCCTACAGTGGAAAGCAGGTGTTCAAACAAAAGTAATCCTAGAATATCCTAGACTTTAAATTCTAAACTCGAAACGACAACCTAGGTCCTAAACCATAGATCCCACCCATAAACCTTAACACCTAAATTGACAAACTCTGAACAACCTCAAGCCCCAAGCTTTTCATCCTAAGCCCTAGGCTGGAAAAGAGGCGCCGAACAAAAGCCCAAAAGAAAATCAAAGCAAAACTAAGTCCACAGAACCCATGACACCAAAAACTTGTAAGCCCTAAACCCTGAACCCTAAACAGAGAACCTCAAACCTTAAACCCTTAACCGCAAACTTCTAACCCTAAACGGAGAAACCTTAAACCCCAAATCGTAAACCCCTAGTGCGCGCTCCAGTCAAAGGTCGCCACGTGGAAAGCCACGCAGGGGCCCCAGAGCCGTCAGGAGCTGCTGCTGTCTGTATCAGGAATCAAGGTGTATTAAGGTTTACAGGGGTTCTATAAGGATTTTTTAGGGATTATACAGGGATTGTATAGGGAGTATGCAGGGCTCAGGGGTAAGGGTCATTACCCCAACAACGGTGTGGGGAATGTGGATTATGGTTTAGGTTGTCTTTGTTTCCAGGAGGGTTTGCGGATTTGGGGTTCGCGCATAGAGAGCGGTAACAAACTTCCTCCTAGATACACAGATGTGCCGCTAGAGAGTTCGAATCCAAATACCTCAGGGACATTGCCAACCGTGATTTTGAGTACACATGCTTAGCACGTCCCAACAAACTGGAAAGCAGTTCACAGTAAAAAGGAGGGCCGCGCACATGAGGATGTAATGCGCTGCTCCAGCAAAGGTGCATTCGCAGCATTCCGCTGAATCCTTATCTGTCATCATCCGCATCGGTTACTATCTGAGAAGCACGCGCGTGCTTATTAGGCGATTGAAGCTGTCATCAATTGCATTTGGTGCAAATTTGTGAAGATGCAGTGGTGCAGATATGTCGCCCATCAGTGAAACTGATGACTGGCAGCTGCCTCCACAGCAGCACCAACGCAAATGCAATCCACATGGGTATGCGTGATGAACAGTCCACAATCGTCTCCTATATAGATTTTCCTTAGCCTGTCTGCAACAAAGATGGCTCTGATCTGGAGCAGATGTGACGCAGTTACTGCTTCCAGTTGCAGACCTGGCAAGCTTATAGCGCAAGAATCATCATAGGATGCGAAGAACCATTATGTTCTTCTCCAAGTCTCTGTGACCTCCTCAGGAGCAATCAGAGAGAGCCGCAGCGACCCTCTCCTACACTCAGGGTCATAGTAGCAGGCACTGTTGTGATGGTTTTGCTGAGTCAAGTTTTGCCGATTGCTTCGCATAAACGGACTGGTCAGAGGGGTTTGCTCTGCTGCACTTGGGCGCCAAACAGCGAAGGGCAAGGTCACCCAAGGTGACAGCTGGCCGTTCCTCTAGCGACCTAGCAATGACTTAAGAAATTGCGGGCCGGGATTAGAGTCTCTGGCGGATCTTTTAGGCTGCCGGGCATGCTCAGAAAGGTTAACATGCCGTGATTTGGCCTTGACATTGCATGATGCCGGGTCTGTTTTTGATGCTGAAATCACAAGGCAAAGGACCTGGTGCATTGGCTCTTCAATGCAGCTTTGCAGATCATGCCATCAGCCAGCTTTCCGCACAGGAACAGGCAGTTTTGAAGAAATGTCCAGATCTCGCTTGAAATCCAGAAGGAAAGCTCATCTAGCATCCACGGGTATGACTTGACGGTGATGGTTCCTTGATCAGCAGTCTTGTAACACAAGCAGCTACCATCCCTGAGCAGCCGGCAGTCCTTACATAGGCTCAGTCGATGGTTCAGGAGTACAACCACAAACACGTGATTCATGCAGTAGGGTCAGCCACTGGCGCTGCAATGCTTGGGACTGAGTATATGGGGGTTTCCCAAAATTAGGGGTACCCTTTTGGAGGTCCTTATAATAAGTACTATAGTATTTTGGGGCCTATATTGGGGTCACCCTATTTCATTTTGGGAAACTATCTTGCTGTATGGTAAATAGTAGTTTCCGTTTTATTTTCCATTATCCCTATAATTATAACCCCTATATAACCCTATTAAACCTATATGACCCTATATGAACCATATATAAAACCCATATATCTGTCCATCTCTTGCGCTGACGGGCGCATCTCGGGCTGTAGAAAGGTCGAGCTGCAAGGGCTTTCTTGCACAGCCTGACTTCTGGGCGGAGGAAGGTGCAACATTATCAATACTACTAGTATTACTATTATTACTAGTACCAGTACTAGTATTACTACTACTATTACTGCTTCTACCATTACTATTACTACTACTACTGCTGCTGCTGCTACTACTACTACTACTACTACGACGACGACGACAACTACTACTA